ACATCTGATTAGCTTGTTAAAAGTTTGGGTGTTACTTGGTTCCTACCAAACTTGCATGATTGACATTTATTAGCCAGATCACTCACAGCCTCACATCTTTTCATGCTGATCCTGGAAGACTTCAAATGATCATTGTGACAGATAAAAGAGCTTTTTTTTTTTCCAAGCCTTTTCTTAAGTATTAAAACAAAGTAGACTCTCCCTATAGGCCATTTATATTTATTTTCCTGGGTAAAGCTTCTAGCTTTGCAGAAATATTACAAGCTGGAGGGAACATCATTATTACTTGGCTGAAGATGATGACATTGACATGAGGTCATCTGACAGGGGATTAAGCTGGAAAAATATTGGTGGCAATCTGTTAGAAGCAAGAGGATCCCTTTGAAAAAATGAGTTGGGTGTAAATCACAAAGCTGATTTGCTTCCGGGTTTGTTTTTTTTTTTTTTGTTATTAAACTATTCTCACCCCTGCTGTAATTTGTAAATACTGGGTTTCACATGCAGGTTTGGAGGAAATACAATGCTATTCCAAGACAGAGGGTTCAGCTGGGACACTGCTCTGTATCATCCAGTTGCATCTTTTAAAAGACAACTGGTTGTTGTAAAGGATCTAAAATCTCATCCAATGTATTTCAGTCCACCTTGTTGTCATCAAATTTGACCACTGTTATCGCTGATGGTTGGTTGCTGGCCTGCCTTAAGGTGGGTCAGTGGCCACTGTGCTGTTGCTTGTATGTAGATGCTCATGTTTCTGTAACTCCTGGAAAAAACCCGTGCCTGCTGACAGTCTCTGTTAAAATGCCATCGGTAAATGAGTCTAAAGAACCTTTTACTTGCAAAGGTCTGTGTCACGTAGGAGCAGAAAATGTAGGCAATCACTCTTTTTTTAGTGATGCTGAAAAGTGGAGAAAGTGAAGACAAGAGGAGGCGGGAAATAAGATGTCAAATGTTTCCATTAAAAATTTTTTGCCCTTGTTTTTTAAGGTTTAGTCTTCAGTCTTTTAATAACCAGTGAACCTGTAGAATTCCACATATTTCACAGCCTTATTTTTATTTTATTTTATGGTTTGTTTTCATACTAAGGCATTTTGATGTGACACCTGGTATGAGTTATTATCCTGCTATGCTGATACACTGCAGCAAACTTGGCTTACAAGTGCATTTGTGTATTTCTTTGGGAAATGTTGGAAAACAGTGAGAAGGAGACACAGTACTACCTGTCTAACGATATAAAGACTGGGATGAGTCCTAAGACTAGTCTAGGACTGACAACTGAGTAGTAGTTTGTGTGAGCTAAAACTGTAGGATTTATTTTACTTGCCTTTTTTGTGTTTGGTGGTGGGATTATTTGGGGGGTTTTGTTGTTGGTTTTGTTGGTTTGGGGATTTTTTTGAATGATGTGTTTTATATCCTGATGATAATCTCTGAAGCCACCATAGAGATCTGAAGCTTTTGTTTTCAGTGTGAAACCTGTGATTTTCTTAGATTTGCTTGATGGTAGAAACTGGACTACTTAAGTAAATGTCAAATAATAGGAGAGTGGAGAATCACTGTGGGATGGGAAGGCTCCTGACACAAAAGTATTGCCAGCATCAGCCAGTTTTCAGTAACAGGATCCATTCAGGCTGAAATGATTTTTACCTCTATGTCTAGTAGATTTATTTGGAGAAAAAACCTTTGGATTTCAATCTGTCAGGGTTCAGTCCTGCCTGCTGCTGCTGCCTGTTCTTGGTTAAGAGTTTGCTGTTTGACCTTAAAGCCTGCTCATCTCCTTTGTGAGGGAGGACATGTTGATACTGGAAGCATAATGATCTTGAAATTCCTTCTTCAGCATGTGATACCTATGAGACCATCAAAACATTTCCTGATACACAATACAGAAAGGGCTTGCTTGCCTGTAGTGGGCTCTAAGGGTTTTGTCAGACGTCTGTCTTTAATTTCAATTGATGGTCAGCTCTCAGATGCTCATTGCATAGGGCTTTCTAATATCTTTGCTTGTTTTTCTGCTCTGTGCTTTTTTGACAGCTCTTCTTCTGAGTATAGTTTTTAAACTGTTGCATTAATTTAAGTGTATTTCTTCCCACAGACTTTTCTTGGAATCTGCGTGGTATGTGTTGTATGAACGTATGTGACCATACACGCCTTCTTCCATCCCTTTCTCTTCAAGCTCTGACTGTAGCAGCTCAAGCTCAGTAGTACCTTCAGCTTTTAAAATGAAAAGTCCTGTAAAAAAGAAAGCAATTTAAGGAAAAAACCCAGAATTTACATCCCACAGTGTATGCTGAGCAGATGGTGCTTATAAATTCTGTGCAAACAGATTATATCATTAAAGTGGGTCTACAAATGACTTGGTAGGCCCCTGTGCTTTTGTTGCATTGCTGTATGCAATACTCAAGTTGCTTTAAGGAATTAGGGCCTGAAATTTTGCTGCAAGATCCTCTAGACTGCTTCTAAGATCCCAACACTCCTATGAAATTTTGCTCACTTGCAAATCATGAAGGTGGTTTTTGCCTAGCAACAAGCTTTGCCGTTTCTACCTGAGGATCAAAAACAGAAGTGCATTTGTTCAGCCTTTTGCGTCACTTCAGTACTGAAGGTTTTGACAGTCAAATCATCTCTGACATTTCTGTTGATGCGCAAGAAAGAGAATAATCCAGTATGTTTTTCCACAGCAATGCTGTCACTGCAGCACTGACAATAGGAAGAAGTGCATTCATCACTGAGCAACTACATATCCTGGAAACATACAAGATAGAGACATAATTTCAATCAAAATGTCTCGCTTTTAATGGCTATTTTCTAACTGATTCCTTTTTGCTATTTATACTCTCCCTGAAATATTTTATAGAAACCTTAGTCCCTTTGAAAATCCACCCAAACAACCAGAAGTGTACTTTACGTATTGTAGTATGTAAATGATTAGTCATCACTTGCAAATTGCCTAATGGAGGAGGAGGAAATCTATATTGAGGAAAGGTGGATGGCTCGATTTGACTGCTATGTGTCTGACTTCTTCTTGCCTCCTTTTTCTTACCCAGAAGATAATTTTGAAGTATTTCTTTTAAAAAATCCTCTTAAGAGACATTATCATTGTAGGTTTGAAAATGGTAGCTGCATGTTATAAGATTATTTTCCACTTGCTTATGTTTTCTTGGGAAAATTCATGGATACTTTTTGTTGTTTTAATTTAAGATTCTGTGGTCTTCTTGTACCTTGCTAATGAAAAATCTTAAGTAAAATAATATGGGTAACTCACTTTATGCAGAAATAGGTCTTCAGTAAAGCATGATAAGATGATGTTGAGCATCGGTGGCATAAGACCAAGGCTTTGGCAGATTTCTTCACTTGCTGTATATGATGCCCTTTGGTTGGTTTGTTGTCTGGTTTTTGTATTACTCTGTTTGTCTTATGAATATTTAATTCACAACACATGGCCTCACTGAACAATCCTGAAATAAATTTTTTTTATGTCCTGATTTTGGTACAGATATCTGTTTCTCTCTTAGCTTTGGATGGTTTTGATTGCAATGGTTTATTCCCTGGCTGGCTGTTTTCCAGGTGAAACTGTAATGCACTGTACTTGGCATTTTTGATTTGTGATTGGATTTGGTTTGTAGGGGTTTTTTTTTCCCCCCTCCTCTTCTTTTTAAAGTCTGAGGGAAACAGTGGAAGATGATTATGAGGAAAGGGTTTTCAGTCAGTGGTTTATTTGCTCTTTGTGCTCTGAGTATTTGCTTCATTAAATACTTTTGCATGTGTTTGAGTGCTTAGGCATAGTTTTTCCATGTTGTTCCTCCACTCCCATTGTGATCCTATGTTTGTTAATGAGCTAAACTTTCTGAAAGTGACCTGCAAGAGATACCAAAAAGCTAGTGGGGAGACTTACTTTTTATTATTCCATACAAATTATTAAGTGATCTGAGGGAAAGAAATACTGTTATGTATATACATTTGCAGGATGGCAGTGGTAGTTTATAGAGCTGCCTGATAGTCTCCTCTGTGTGCCAGACCTCCTCAAGAGACCAGGACTTGATTTTTGTGAAAGGCTAAATTCCATGTATGGCACATGAAATTTAGCTTTTCTCACATGGTGAATTCCAGGGCACTGACACATGCTGTATGGCAATTGCAACTATGCATAATGTAAAACATACTGCAAAAACAAGGAGTCTAATAATGTGAGATGATTTTCAGGGTGGGGTTTTGTTTGTTTGTTTGCTGGGATTTTTCCTCCCCCCAGGTAGAATGATACATGTTTCCTATTTGCTGGGTTTGTGTATCTGCAGTGATTGCTACAACTGTGACTCAAATGCAAGCCTTGAGAAGAGGTGCTGGTTGTATCAAGATAGTTCAGCACATTGCCATGGCCTGTAAATTGGTCCGACTCAGTCTAAGATGCTCATTTTCTGTTAGATCAGCTATTCAGCTGGCAAATGCAGTCCTGATGAGCAGCATAAATGCATAAATTGCATTGCTGAGGCAACACTTTCTTGAGCTTTATTTTCTGAATCATAATCTGGAAATCTCCTTTTTCCTCCTCTCGTAGTGCCTCAAAATAAACTTTTTCTGGTGGCCATTGTTCCGGGAATAGGATTTATTCGTTCTCCTCCTCCTCCCATTCTTCATCATTTCAACTTTTATTCAGCTTATAAAATGAATATCTTGATTCACTACCCTGGCAAAGCAGGTCACTTTCTAAAAGCACCCACCTAGCTTCTTTTTCAATAGTGTTTGACTATTGAAATTTTAATTGGAGCAGAAGCCACAGTTAAAAAGCAGCCAGATCCTTTTGCCTCATACCCTCATTGATTTCTGTTGAGGCAAACAGATGAGCTTATGTATAAATATGTATATATGCTTTTTTTTTAATGAAAAGCGCTGGAATTCACTAAAAAAGGTTAAAATTGAAATGAGTAATATTCAGTGCATAATGCAATTGTTAATTTTAGCTCCTTGCGTAGGAGCTGTTATGACTTGAACAGCCGGCTCTAGCCTTCGTTAGAGAAGAAGCAGGCAGTTTTGAGACAGGTGGAGCTGGATCAAGCTGTGAAAGTGATTTGCTTAAAGCTGGTCATTAGTGTTAGAAATCTGGTCCTATCTATTGCACCCTTACCTTGTGCCATGGTCGTTAATGATGGTTTTACTTACTTTTCATCTTTTTCCAGGTTGATTATGATGCGTCAAGCTCTCTGAAGGACCAGCATGGAGATTGGCACTCTGAACTGTTAATGGGGACATGGGACTCATGTTGTTGTTGGTCATTTGTGTGGACTTAACCAGCAAAGAGCAACAGAAGACGCTGGAAAGACATTGGGAATTATAGCAGTTTTTCAGGTAAATGGTTTATTTGGTGTAGCTGATACGAGTGCAATTGTTTTTGTGGACACTCTGTAAGTATGAAGATGAGCTGCAGGTTAATATGCTCACGAAGAGCTTATGCATGCATGTGGATTTCTTGATGAAAATCCTTAACAAGTTAAGGGTTATTTAACAGACAAGTTAAAAGTCTTTGTGTTTTGAATTTTCATCAGAGTTTCAAGTTTCAGTTGTAACTGCAGAATAGCCAATATCATGGGCCTTCCTTGGGAGAGTGGTAGGAGGAAGGAGAACAACTCGAAGGTTGGCTTGGCTTACTGTGAGCTAATTTGTGAGTTTCATGTTCCATTCAGTTTGTTTACAAACCGTGTAGCTTCATTTCTTGTGAAATCTACAATCCTTCTCAAATGGGAACATTATATAGTAAGTTTTATTTCCATACAGTGTAAAAACAAATTCAAAAAAACTGGAAGAAATAAGTTTTTATAACTCAGTGTGTCATATTTTTTTCACTTAAAACATGGCTTAAGAAAAATAAAGGTAAGTGAATACCAGAGCTATTGTATGTTTAATTTTAAACTGTAAAAAGAAACATGACCAGGTGTGGTTTTGCTTAATAGCTGCTGTTTCATTGTTGAGAATTGGCAAGGTGTTGCAAAAGACCCATTGTGAAATAACTCCCTTTTTCAACTGCAGTTGATTTTCCTGAAGATGTTTCTTAAGCCAAATGAATGGGGAAAGAAAAGTTAAATTATTCATGAGTCTCATTTGACAGTTGATCAGTGGGGGAGGCTTCAAGAGGGAGCTGGGGGGAGGGAGAGAGAAAGAGAGAGAAAATAATAATAGGCTTTAACTTTGAAAAGCCTTTAAAGCTTCTGTACAACAACCCATTGTGAGCTGAGAGTAAATGCAGTTCAGTTAAGATATCTTCGTTGGAAGTACCTGCCAAGGGCTTCCTGTAGGATTTTCATAGTACTGGAGAGTGACATGGGGTTTGGGAATAGGCTTAGGATTTTAATAATGGAGCTGTCAGTTTGATCCCTGAAAATGTTGACCCTCATACCTTAATTGCAAAATTTAGATTTAATATTTATCTTGAATTATTATATCTTTGAAAGCCCTATCTATATCTCTATATTTTAAATGTTAGTGTACACTATAGCTTCTGCTATGCACAAACCCCATGGCTGAGTGCTAAAAACTGTTGTTTCTCATGTTTGGATTTTTTTTTTTCTGGTTTTTTTTTTTTTTTTTTTTAAAGAAAAAGTTAAAAAAAAAAATTAGAGGAGGGGAGCAACAAGATGCTAGAGACCTCGAAGTCTGTTTGGGTCTTTCCTGCCTTGTGCTGCTGAGCTCTGTAGCGGAGAGTCCCTCACTGTCCCTTCCTGCACCTTAGCAGTCCCAGGGCTGGGCTGGGGTATTCACAGCACCTTTCTGCTCTCCACAAAAACCGTTTAGATCAGAGCTCTGCTTGCTTAACCTGACACAATTCTACTGTTATTCAACCTTGTTGATTCAGTATATCTCTTCAGCTGGGACATGCATAGTTTTCCATTCCTGAGCTTCATATTTGGGTTTGTTTATCAAAGGAAATGAAATTGGGAATTTAAAAAAATGAATTAAAAATTCACCCTAATGTTTTTTCTGTGTGTTTGTGTTGTGATATTTTGGCCTTTCAGGTCACCAAATCTTGTTATTTTAATTTCTGTCTGGAAGAATGTCTGAGCAAGGTAAATTGAACGAGGAGACAGCAGAGGAAACTGCAATAGAGCAGGAGACGGCCATCTCTGAAGCAGACCCGGACAACTGTATTCTTAGTAAATCTGAAAGCTCAGAAGTAGAGGAGAAGGAGGAGAAGCTCAGCGATTCCAAGACAGAGCTGCAGGTAAGACAGGAATAGTGAATGGGCGCATTAAATATCGATGTTTTACCATTGCTTTTCCATTTCTGTGATTTTTTTTCATTGCCTGTGTGTCCCCTAGTTTTTCTCTTATGATTTTGAGACTGTTGCTATTTTTTTCCTTTTAATTTTTTAATATTTATTTTAATTTTGGATTTTTTTTATTTTGCTATAAAATAAATGCTGTTATTTGTTATACCTTCCAAGCTCTTTAGGCTGCTGTCCATGTTATTACTTTTTCTGAGAAGTTAATTTCTAGACGTCTGTGTTAAAGCTTGGTGAAATATTTGACTGTTTTCCCTCTTTGGGGATTTAGAAAACTACCTTGATCTCATGAATTCACAGGTAATACTAATGAATAATTACTTAATGTGTGGTTTGGTTTGTAGGTGTTACTGCCAACAAAAAGTTGTTATGCAAAGCCTAAGAAGGTAATTTGATAAGAAGACTTTATCGGATGAGGGGGTTTTAATCCTTTTTGCTCAATCGAATATAAAAATAAGGGGGGAGACTACAGTTTAAGAGGAATTTGGAGAGGGGGAGCATTTACTTAAGTATGCCTTTTCTTACATTTTTATTATATGCAAAATTACAGAACACTGTGCAGTGTGTTTTTCTTGTTTATACCTGTTCCTAAAATGAATAAAAATGAGCAGAGATGATTCTTGGTTTTCCCTGCTTTTCAAACTGGGTTTGGGAAAGTTGCTTTTTCAGTCAGCAACTGATTTAAAATTTCATTTAGGAGTGATTTAGTCTTTTTATTGATAATACTGCTGTTGTGTCCATTTTCCACTGAAGTGACAACCACTTCTATTTTTTTGCTATACCCAGAAACGAGGTGCAAATCAGAACCAGCAGAAAAAGAGATCCAAGGTAAGGGTCCCTCTTTGATTTGAATTGCATGCCACAATAGAATGAAGAATTTCAATTCAATGTCTATCTGGAATTGAAGTGGTAGCCTTTCATCACTTGTGTGGTGTTTGAGTTTTGTTGTTTGTGTTGTGGGTTGGGTTTTTTCTGCCCCTTACCCCATAATCTTGTTGCACAAAGGCACAGATCTTCCTCTAGATATAATATGTCAGGCTTCCCTTTGTTTCTCTATCATACTTTTATGCTGCTGGGCTTGCTGCGCACTTGTATTAGGCAGCATGTGTGCTTCTATGCACCACTAGAGAAGGAAAAGGCTTGTTCCTTTTGCTTTAGTAATTAATGTTTATCTTACAATTTTATTTTAATGGAGTAATCTTGACATAAAGAAGCAAAGACAGACTAACTCCCTGAGGGGGTGGAGGCAGGGGTGGGAAGGATCTTCTAGGAACAAATAAACCCTAAAAAACCTTGTTTCTATTTTTTAAGTGCAGATCCATAGCACTTGTACATTTTATTGTTCATGTTCCTTGGATATAATACTGCTAGAAGAAGAGGAAGGACCCCAAAACCAAACAAAAATGAGACCAAACCAAATGACAAAAGGAACATTTGAATATATGTTCAGTTATGTTCAGTATTGGATTATCTATTCTTTCCTGTTAAAATTTTTGGTGAAAGTGAATGAACTGTAGCCAAAATGATTAAAAGCAATAAGAAACCTACTGCCTTCCCTGTTTGGCAAATGGCTTGTTGCTTAGAATCCTTTTCTGTCCGCATTGATGGCAAATACAGGTTTCCTGACTGGGTGGGTAATAGTTATTTGGGATATTTAGGGGCAGCTAATATGGGCAGCCTATGTGACTTAGGGTCAGTAGTAGTGTTCTCTGCCTTGTTTTCTCTCTCTCTTATTCAGTCAGGAGCTAAAGGAAAACTTGTCCGGAGTCTTGCTGTGTGTGAAGAGTCATCCCCTCGCCCAGCAGCGGAAAATCTTCATGATAATCAGGTACACTTACAATCATTGCTGTTGTCTGCATGGTTGACCTCCATCTTCAGTTGCATGATTGTGTTACTTAATTGGGCATTTAACAATGTCTTTCTTGGGGGAAAAATTACATCCAACAATGAACGTGTTTTCATGAAGTTATCTGGTTTAGCGTGAACTTTATTTTGAAATATTATACTATATCACAGGGTGTTGTTTGCTTTTTTTTCCAGACCCCCTGAAAATTACAGCAAATGGAAAAGAATTCAAAAGAATTCAGATTTTAAAATTTTAAAAAATAGTTACAATCAAAAAGAATATTAATATGTTCTTTTCTCTAAGGCTATCTCTTTCGAGGCTGCACCAGATACAGTTATGAATATGCTCTGATTTCTGGTTCCTCTGAGACTCCAGTTCATATCAGTGTCCCCCTTCAAATAAAATGCACAGGTCTTTTGCTCTCTAAAATACCTTGGTAGAGCCAAGGATGCCTCCTACTGAGTGGCATTCATTTTTTAAACTTTTGATGTAGATTATCTGATATCAAAAAGCGTGTATTTGACTTTATCTGTACTGGTGGTGTTGTATTCCCAGCAGCTGGTAGAGTTCTGTCCCCTGCACCCGTCACCTTAGACAATAGCACTGATGGCAGTCTTTTTAGACTAACTTCAAAAAGTACTCCAAAAAAGCAAAAGTTAAACCACAATACTTATCTTTGCTTGCCTGGTGAGAGCAGTGCTTAAAAAACCCAAACTAAACTAAACCCAAAATATCATGAACACGGCCTACAATTTATGAGCTGTTTATGTACAAATGAGATCAGCCATCGAGAGAGCTTGAGCAAGTGGCTTCTTGTGAGCTTAGCACAAAAATAAAAAATGACATTTAAGTGTACTTTCTCACTGTTTCCTCTATTGACTTGAAATGAAACAAATCTGTCTCTCCTTTTAGCTCGTCAGTATGGAGAGGTTTTTCTATTTTTTTAATTTTTTGAAAGACCAAAAACCAAGTTGTTTAGCAGGGGGACATCTACATGTTCTACTGCTCTACAATGATGCTTATGCAGTAGATGGACAGGTTATTTTATCAGTTGTTCTGTTGTAGGTATATGCTTTCTGCTTGACTTGCGTTACTCAAAATATGTGGCTTTTGTTCTGATTTTGTTTGTATTTTCTATTGTTTAATGGAGAATGAAAAGGAGAACAATATAAAGAGATTGTATTAAGAATCACTGGTAGTGTATAATGTACTGCACAGGACCTGTATTAAACATCAGAGAGACTGGCAGATGTTGAGGCAAAATCCCTATCCTGATGCCGGGCAGAGGAGGGGTTCCTGTTACACACAGTGGCCTTCGGTCTTACCTGACTCACCAGCCGTGTCAACAATTTCATTGACCGTCTTAAAATATTTATGGGAGATGAAATGTCTCCCTGGACCCCAGCATCTGTTTCCTAAAGACATAATTAGCTTGGTGTAATTAATTTGGTAGGAATTGCCCTTTTGCTCTTGCTGACCTTTTGCTAATGAGTGTGGCTCAGCTTTGCCATGGAAAGCTGGACCTGCAGGCTCTGCCTTGGGCTGGCTGAAGGATACAGGAAGTTTTGTGCCAACCAAACAGCTTTGCATTCACTTTAGAGGAGTAAAAGCTTATTTTTGGTTCGGAATTATTTTTTTTAATTTTAAATTATTATTTTATCTTAATGGTTTACAAAGTACAGGGAATTAATTACCAGAGAATGTACGGTACATTGCCAGAACTACTGAGTATGGATTGTACTGCAGACTTGATGTTTGTATTTATATTTGAATACTTGCCTTCATTTTCCTGTATAAGGAAAAAAACTTGTTTACCTGTATTACTTGATCTTGAATGCTTACCTGATGGTTCACTATGTCCTTACTTAAAAGGAATGCTGCCTTTAATGTTATACTATTGACCAAGAAGTGTATTATTGCAATTTGAACATTTATTTTGTTGTTCACTATACTTGTATCAATGTATTTATTAACATTGTATTTTATTATTGAGAAAAATCAATAAAAATCTAAGAAAATATACAGTAGCTTGCTTTCACGACTCTACAGCCCTTTTGTGTGTTTCTTCTAGTGCAAAGACATCCATATTATGTTACATGTAAAACAGTATCTACTCTATGTTCATACGTATGCTTATCTGTAAAGTCAGTCGTATTCATAAGTGCATTTTTAAGAACCACTGTGAAGGTTAGGATTAATACCCTGGGAACAGCATGGCCAGTTACATTTTTCTCCTGTTGAAAATCTAGCAGCACAGTCACTGTATTTCAGGCAGTGCAGGGAATCAAGAGTTATGCTTTGGGGTCATTTGGCAGTGCTTGATCCAAAGTTTGTGGTTTGAATGAGAAATCGAACTGCCATTTGAAGTGAAAGAAAGCAGGCATACTGTTAGGCCTCTGAGAGCCACTGAGCAGGTTAGAAAACATTTTTCCATGTATTCTTACCTCAAATGACCAGAAATTCTCACTCTTCCCCTCTGTAGGATCAGGTTTTGGCTAACACTCAGACAAAACTTAGAGAAGTAGGGATTAAAGATGGTAGGTTAGGTTAAATTTTGGATCCAGAGCTTTGCTTCTCTTATACAATGCTTTTCATTTCAAGTCTTCTGTGCCACGTTGAAACTTTACAAAATGTCAGTAACAAGTAAGCTGAGAAGTTACCGATATCTGTCTCACTGTGGCATGTTTATGCTGATATCTTGTTCTGTTAGGATCCTGTCTTACTTGTGTTGTGGTGGCTGATTTGTAGTTGTTTAAAAAGTTCAGAAACATAAATTTGTAATAATTATTGGAAGCATCTTTTCAAAAGTTAGTCCACACTGGAAAGTTTTGTATTGATCTTTTGGTATGCTAGTACTCTTTTAAAAATTGTGAAGGAAGGGAATTTACTAGCATTCCAGAAACTCTGATTTTCTCCAGTAGTGGTGAATTCGGTTTTCATTAACATGATACCAAAACATTATCAGGCATACAGGACTCTCTTCTATTAAAGAAAAATGCTATACCACAAAGTTTTGTGACTGCTTACTTCAAATGTGCTTTTTTTACACTACTTAAGCATATTATTTTGGCCATTTTTTTCTTTTAAAGCATAGAACACAGAGGTATGCTTCCTTCAATTTTGTCCAGCCAGATTGGGATTTTTTTGAAATATGTAAATTGTGCCATGGTAACTGCAAAAGAAAACAATTTGGGTATATAAAGTAATGTTGTAAGCAAGGAAAAACAAGTTCTTTAAAGCAAATCAGAAAATGCAAACCACCTTGAATTCTGAGTTTTAATTAACTGTTTAAAGCTGAAGAATGATTTCAAAGGGACCTAAAGTCTCTGAAATAATTTTTGAGGACAAAACTTGTGACGCCTTGGTGAAGTTCATTTACTACAACTTGTTTGAAAAAGTCACAGTGCACATTTCACCCCTTTTGCTAAAGGCACATCTGTGTATGTCTTGAAATATAAAGTCCCTGATAAGTTAGTATACAGCTGAGTTTATAATTTGCTGTTACTCTTCTACTATCAGAGCCTGAAAGCTCAGTGTAGCTGATACTGCGCTTACATGTGCAGAACAGTTCATATGAACCTGCAGGTTTTCTAGTGAGGGGAAAAAAGGTTATATTTTTCAGATATCTATCCATTGGTCATCATTTAACATGTGCAGTATTAAATTATAGAATTAATTCAGAAAACACATATAAAATATATTTCATTGTTCTAATAAGTCTTAAGTGCGAATTAATGAAGTGCAGAATAATATAGTGCCCTTAATATAAGTATACTAAAATTTTATAGTATTCAATATTAGGGAGGAAATTCATACTTACCAGTAGGATTTGGCCTCTAAGATGTCATTATTCTCCTGAATAAAAAAAAAAAAAATTCAAATAGGAAAGAAATGTATCTGGCTTCAACGTTTCTAGCTATACATAGTTCAATACCAATCTCTGCAGGTTGGAAGCCATGGAAAGCTACTGAATCTGGCCCTAAATTTATCTATCTTTTTTTCCCAACAGGAATCAATCCAACTACAGCTTTCAAGTTTTCCTAGCTTACAAGAAGAAGATAAATCTAGTAAAGATGACTCCGAGAAAGAAAAAGAGAAGGATAAAAATAAAGATAAAAACAGTGAAAAAAGCAAGATCAGAATGTTATCAAAAGGTGAACTTAAAAATATTTAAATTGTTATAATTACTGTTATAGAAAGGATTGTATGTTTTTATAAGCATGCATTTCTTTATTTGTGTATAAATACACTGTAGAAGTGTTTTCATACACTGGGAGAATTCAGAACCTGAAATGTGTATCCACAAGTGTGTTTTTCGTACAAACATCAGGCTTTGAACATGAAGAAATCTTCCAAATTGAGGTTTGGTATTAGATGTTATTAATTTAATGTAAAATCATTCCTTTGAGTACTTAACCACATTGGTATGAACACACATATATTTATATACGTGTGAATGTATAATAAGTGTAAGACTCTAATATGGTTTTTTCTGGATTAATGATAATGTATTGGCATGTCACTTGTGCAGTGTAGGCAGTAGAGAGTAATCCTCCACATTATTGCTCCACTCTCATGGAGAATTTTTCTTAAATGCTGTAAGGAAATCTATCCATTATGTTCAACCTGCATCGCGATCTACTATTGTTGCCTAGTAAGACTTCAGGAAAGATCTTGTATCTAAATTTGGTATTGTTTTTTGAGGTTTTTTTTATTAATCCATAGTATAAAGTTGCAGTGTAATTGCTCAAAATTAATCATTGCCTACCTGGGTGTGTATCCGCAGCTGGTGTGAATTGTCATTTGGCTTCAATGGAGCTCTCACAGTTCACGCCAACTTGAGGATCTGTGTGTACCTTTGAGTCAGGAGATAATGCTGAGAAATTAATTCTGAGTGCTGTCACGCATCTCTATTTTACCTGCCCACTCTCAGGCGTCACTGGATTTCAGTCTGTTAATGCAAATGGAGTTCCCACTGGCATGATGCCTCATTCGCTATGTGTGCAGCATTTACTAAGTGATACAAAGAGACATTGATGAATTTGTCTCATTTTAAAAAAATCTTTTTTAATGGTTTAAACGAAGGTCTTGGCAGAGTCTTGAGTGGTGTGGAAGGTTTCCCATGTTTTTGAAATGACCAGCAGTTTCTGTCAGTGCTTAGTTTTGGTGCTGTGTTCACTGTGGAGTGGTTCAGAGGAACCAAGAATGTCCACCTGATGCTTCAGAACACAGATCTTTCTTGGCTGAACTTGAAGTGAACATTTTCTTTCAGAGCATATGCTTTCAGATTGTTGCTGGGAAATGGATTTTGATTTATAGCATAGCTTAATCGTAACTGTTGAAATGAAATAAATATGTGGAGGGTGTTTGTTTTTATTTTTCAGATTGCAGTCAAGAGTATACAGACTCAACGGGCATAGATTTGCATGAGTTTCTCATTAACACATTAAAGAATAACCCCAGG